ACCTTGGCATGGAGGTGGAGTCCTTCTGGCCAGGAATTGAGCTGGGCTTGGGCTGTCTCGTGTCACTGGCTTCTTAAACCACTCTTAGCCCTGAGGCTGTGGCTGTATCTGGTCTGCGGGCCACAGCTGGCTGAAGCCTGGTTGAGGACCTTAGGGTGGAGGGTGGAGTCCTCCTGGCCAGAGATTGAGTGGGGCTTTTGCTTTCTCGTGGCAATGGCGCCTTGCCATGCTGTGCCTGCTGCAGGCGGGATGGTGCCCACGCCCTGCCTGTCCTTGTGGGGCCTGTCCCCCCGGGAAGCGCTGGTTCCTTGTTGCCCTGGGGCCTCATCTCTCTGAGAGGCTCAAGGGAGCAGCCTGTGTTTGTGGTTCTCCAGCGTTTACTCCCTGCTGTCAGGGAGCAGCGCCCCACCCCCAGCTAACGCTCGGATTCCAACTCTGCTGAATGAGATGCACCTTTCCTTCGGCAGTGCTGCACCCACCCACAGGATATATTTTTGAACCCCTTTTCATTTGCACGTCCAGGCTGAGACCTGCTGGTGTGTTGTAGGCATCCGGGTGCCGGCGGAAAGATGGTGCCGGGGTTGGAGACCGGGTGAGAGCTGCCAAAGGCTGAGAAGCTTCCTCAGCCGGGCTAGCCTCCGACTTCCTGGGTGAGGGCCTGCCTCCGGGTGAGCAGGGCCGACCCCCTTCGGGAGGACTGACTGACCACTGCTCTGTCCTTTTAGAATCTGGAAGCTGTCCTGAATTTCAAGTACTCTGGAGGCCCGGGCCATGTTGAAGGCTACTACCGGAACCTCTCCCTGGGCCTGCACATGGAAGTGGAGCCGTCTGTGTTTTTCACCCGTGTCAGCACTCTCCCCGCAACCAGGTAAAGCTGTTACATTGCCGTCGATTCTGCCTCAGAGTGGCCCCACGAGGCAGAACAGAGCTGCCTGATAGGGCTTCCTAGGCTGTCGTCTTTACGGGAGCACGCCACCAGGTCTCTTCTGCAGAGTGACTGGTGGATTTGACCCACCTGCCTTTTAGTTGGCAGCTGAGTGCTTAACCATGGTGCCATCAGGGCTCCTAACTTTCTCCTAGAGTCCTTTACAACTTTGTTTGGTACTGACCTTGGTTTTCCTTATAACTTGCCCCCCACCGGGTCTTCATCTCTTTGGGCCTCAGTTTCCTCGTCAGAAAGATGGGCGTTCTCTGGGAGCCCGGCCCTGCCTGAGTTGTAAGTGAAGGGCTGTACAGAGCCCAGGGCGCTCTGCTGAGCATGTTCCCGCCATGTTCACGAGGGCCGTGCAGTGCTTGTGGCCTCACTGTAGGGGTACATGCTGCTCATGTCCTGAGCGTGGGCCCGATTCCCAGCTGCCCCAGTGCTCCTGTTAGCAGGGAGCTCCGCAGAAGCCCACATTGCCTTGGGGACTCCTGAGGGAGCCCACCGTCTCCTCCATCTCTCCCGGCATCCCAGTAAGATGCAAGATGCTTTGTGCAGACCAGCTGTGTGGTGTCTTAGTGCTCCCGCTTCATGGAGCCCGGGAGCCTTTCCTGCACAAAGGTGTTTACTGCCACTTGGTCTAGGTCTAGTTCTCCTTTAGAGGCAATGACGTCACACGGATGTCTGCTTCAGTCCCACATGTGGCAAAGTGTTCCTCTTTGGGGCAGGAGGGTAGCAGTTCTTGCCTGTAGCTTTGGAGTAGCTCTGAGAGCTGGGGGGCTTAGCCACGGGCACCCTGTGTCCCCCATTCCTGCCCCAGCTGCTGAGCAGCCATCGGAAGCCAGTGGTGATCCTCACCGAGCACATCCGTGTTCTCCTGGGTCGGGATACATGGGATGGACTAGTGTGATTTATTCCCAACAGAGATAAAGCAGAGTGATGACAGAGACATAACTGGGTGTCCTCACATACGGAGGGGAGGGCATCACATGCCGCCTGGCCCCGTCCACCAGTTGGCCCTCTCCTCTACAAAGGAAAACAAGCTGTTGTTGCCCAGGTTAATGTTCACATAAAAATCCTTTCAAAGAGACAGAGCTCCAAATGATAAGTGTGGTTTCCGTTTATGGGAAAGACTCTTTGGTGCCCCAGCCACTGGAGAATGGCCTCAGTGAGAATTAATGGCTTTGCTTGGGCCTTTTAGCATCACATTTCATCATCTATCACTTTTCCAATCCACGGAGCAGCAGCCTTCCGTGCCAGGGCTTGCCTCTGTTTGGAGTTTGTGTAGAGCATTAAAGAGCTTGCCCCTGGGGGCAGAGTTGGCCAGGGCTGCTGCCAGCTTGTATTAGAGCTTGAAGGCCTTTCTGTGCATTCAGTGTGCTCCACCGAAGCCTGGCACGTGGCTTCTCATCCCTCCCACTCCTGCTGCCGTGGGCTGTATAAATAGTTCCTGGAAGCCGTACAGGTTGTCACTGAGTTTTTCCTCACCTTTTCTTCCTATTGATTTCTGGCATTCACGTCGTGCCCCCTGCAGCTCTAAATGACAATTTAAGACGAAGAAAATGCTGCTGTGTGCTACGCTGCAAATGCACGCTTAGAGAGTCGGTCACCAGCCAAGTACTCTCTAGCTCCCGAGCGCCAAGCCCTTCGGCCTTGCTCTTTTCCTTTGGCTTGCATGCTTTATTTCCCTGCTCCTGGGATTGAGACATTGTTTCTCCTAATCTCCTTTTCCATTGCTGGCCACCAGATTCCATGCAGTCAGCTGGTTGCGCACCTCAAGGACCCAGTACAGACTGTGAACTCATCCCATAAGTTCTGCAGGGTCTGGAAGCCAGGCAGTGACATGAGAATATAGTGTTTGAAGGATCACACAGAGACAGTCAGCATCAGAGGCTGGCGAGCAATAAGCACAGGGGCTCGAGAAGCTGAGCACAGTGTGATGGAATTATGGGGCAGCAGGAGGCCTAATACATGAATCACGTGAATTTCTGAAGGAGATGAGAGAGGGCAGAAAGAATAGTAAAGATCGCACAGGAGCAAGTCTGGGGGCAGGGTGATCAACCGGACAGCTATGGATCCTGTCCCTAGAAGAGGCGACAGAGATATAGTTGAGTGCAGAGGATGGGTTCAAGCAGGCACATTCAAAGAACAGCACACCCTCTTCTAAGGCGACAGTGCTGTACATGTTGGTAAAGGGTGTGTCTCACAGGGCTGCAGACCAACCTAAATTCTCATCAAACCGAACACTTAAGCCCTGTGCATCTCACTGTATGTAAATCATGCCTCATTTAGATATCTGTGAGGCCCATACTTACAAAGATGGCTACAAGTGGGAGGAGCCCCTGCTTTTACTGGAGAGCAGTGGGAGGTGGCCTTGAAGACATCACAGGAGGGTCTCGCCACCCAGCCAGTGGGAGGAGTGGCCGCAGCAGCTGGCCCTGTGTTCTCTTTCCCTTACTAGGTATGAGCTTTGTGAGGTTGGGGCCGATTGTTCATCTTCATACCCCAGGGCCTGGCACCTCTGGCCTGTCAGGCAGCTGCGCAGTCTTAAAGCATGATTGAGTGAGTGCATGTAAATACCAAGGATGTTTTTGTTCAGTGTCTTTTTCTGTAAAAAGAATGACTTTTCTTTATTTAGACTCATGTAGGCTCACACCCTGTTTTCTTAAAGACCCATGTAAATTGCGTGGCCTGGGACACAGCGGGACAGCGTGTGTTGTGGGTACTGACTTTTGGCAGTTTACTGATGCTCACATGAGAAGGTACACACTGGAAGCATTGTTTTCCATTTTGCTCACAGGTGGAGATTTTGCTTCCCATGTCATGGCATTTTCAAGTTGTAAGCATTGCCAGAGATAATCTGTTTCACTTGCATTATAAATGAGGCCCAGAGAGGTTGTGTGACTGGCCCAGGGTCACACAGCTTTCTGGTGTCCAGATACCCAGGCTTCAAGGCCACCAAGGTACAGACAGTTAGATGACCAACTACAGGTCAGCTGGCCCCATGTAGAGATCCAGGCTGATTTTAATGTAGATAGAAGTCAAATTTATGTCAGTAGATATCTTCATTGCTGGTAGAAAAAGAAACATATACTTGGAAACCAAAATAAGGAATGTCTATTAAATTATTTGCTCCTTGGCATAGTGTGTGTGTTGGCCCTAATCATTGATATTCACAATATATGTGTACTTTTCTTATTGGTAATTTTGCCAGTGGTCATATACTGGAAGAGAAAGAGGAAAGGAAGTTCTGTTTGTTCAGGGCCTGGTGGTGCAGTGGTTAAGGCATTTGGCTGCTAACCAAAATGGTGGTGGTTTGAACCCCCCAGCTGCTCCACAGCAGAAAGATGAGGCTGTCTGCCTCCATAAAGATAGCTTTGGAAACCTAATGGGGTTGCTGTGAGCTGGAATTGACTCAGTGGAAGTGTTTGGTTTGGATTTGGTGTTGCATTCCAGGAGTTTCCTAGGTCCTTTGGGATCAACATGTGCCGTTTAAACTCCAGGAAACCCTTGAAAGTTGGCGTGATTATCTGGACATGTGCAATAACTGGCCTCAGGAGGCTTCTTGATGAGTGGAAGGGACATGCCTTGAATCATGGCCTTTGTGACATGTGCTTTCTGCCACATGGCCTTTGATGGTGGTCCTCAGACCGGGGCTCTAGTTTCCATTCTTCCCCTTACAGTCACAGCAGCCTTGGGAGTCTCTCCCAGCCTCAGTCTCCCGGAGTGGTCATCTCCTCTCTGCTCACCCTGTCGGAGAGAGAGAGTCACGTTAAACAGCAGAGAGCACAGGGGATGCTTCTCTGCTCTCTGAGCCGAGTCTAAGCGTGAGGCAGAATTTGCATTCTTTCCAGCACTCTCCCTGCGAGGTGTACAGGCTCGTGGGCTTCCACGTAGGGGCTGCCTGTGAGGTGTACAGGCTCATGGGCTTCCATGTGGGGGCTGCCTGTGAGGTGTACAGGCTCATGGGCTTCCATGTAGGGGGCTGCCTGTGAGGTATACAGCCTCGTGGGCTTCCATGTAGGGGCTGCCTGTGAGGTGTACAGGCTCATGGGCTTCCATGTGGGGGCTGCCTGTGAGGTGTACAGGCTCATGGGCTTCCATGTGGGGGCTGCCTGCGAGGTATACAGGCTCATAGGCTTCCACGTAGGGGGCTGCCTGTGAGGTGTACAGGCTCATGGGCTTCCACGTAGGGGGTCTGTTACTCTGGAGATTCACTTTTTGCACAGAGTAGCTCAGTATGTTGCCGAGGACCAGACTGAACTGGGGTAGGCTGAGCACCCCCTCTCTGAAGCCGAGTCCCCCCGTGATGCCGAGCCCCCCGCTCTGCCAAGGCGCTATTTCGTCCTCGCCTGCTGTAAGAGATGATCTGGTCTCATGCATTTCTCCTCTGAAGCTGGGTGGGCTGTGTGGGCAGGTCCCTCTGAGCAGTGCAGAGGGGGTGATACTACATTACTGATAGAAATGGTACCACTTGAGGCGGGCTGCCACTTACCTTTAGACATGTACACACACGCGCACACACACACACAGGAGGGTGGGCCAGCTTGGCTGTGCAAGACCCTTGTGCTTGGGGACGTGGAACACATGTAGCTTTGAGCGTTCGGGGTCTGTCATGGTTGCCCTTTCTCAAGTTGCTGCATTTATTTATTAGATTGGTTTTAAATTTAACAAGAGTTTAGAATTTGACAAGCACCAGGACCCAGAGCCAGACGGACCTGTCTCTGAAGTTCTATTTCTACCTATTTGCTTTGTGGTCCTGAGCAGGTCATTCCATTTCTTTTAGCATCATTTTTGCTTTGTCTGTAAATGCAGAGAAGATACAATGCCTGACACGACACAGATCACTGTGAGGTGGTAGCTGTCGGTTTTCCCGTGTGGTGTGTGTGTGTGTGTGTGTGTGTGTACTCTGCCATCACCACCATCAGTTGCTGGGGCCTAGATTC